TTTTCCATTAATGGAGTTTGTGTTGTTTTCAGATGACAGGGAAGGAGGAAGAAGGGCGAGCAAGGCAAGAAAGAAAAATTTCAGACGGAGGAAACCAATATGGGTCATGCGCCGCGCGGCCATTTGGGAAAAGAAGAAGATGGAAAAATGATGAAAAGCCCTAGATGCAAACAATTAGCATACTGCCTTTTTTTTATTAATTGTTCCCGTTTCCTTTTTTTTTCTTCTATTAGTTAATTTACTTTTTTTTTATAATTTATAGTTTAATATATTTTTAAATAAATAATAGTTGATAGTTTTTTTAATAAATTACAATTAAAAATATTTTTATAATTTAGAATTAATAACTTTTTCTTAATAATTTTCAGTTAGTAAATTTTAATAACTTATAGTTTAACATATTGGTTTAATAACTTTTCTATGACTAAAAAACCCATTTCTTTAAAATGAAATAAACCTTTTAGTAATTACTAATAATGGTTTTTTTATTAAAAAAATTAAATTGACTCTTCTTTTTAAAATTAAAAATAATTGTCCTTTTATGGATAAAAATTCAAAAAAAGAGTAAAGAAGTCCTAACTTGGCCGTTTGAATTTCGTCTAGCTCTCATTTAATCCCTATTCATCTCTGCTCACTAATCTGTAACTTTTCTTCGTATTTCAATTTTATGGTTGTAATTATGTGAGGCTATCATCGCTTTTTTCCCGTCATTTTTTGCATTTTTTTAAAAAAAAATTTATGGTTGTAATTTGTGCGAGTATATCGTCGTCGTGCATGTTCTTTACTGCTTTCGCACTTTCTCGTATTTTCTTACTGTCGTTTAATGATTTTGCATCATTTATCGTTAACGTCCTTCCGAAGGATTAGATCTAGCCATTTGACAGCCGAGTCAATAGTCCTCTCCTTTGACCCATTCAAAACCCTGATTGACTAGGCATCCAACCGTGGACTAAAATACCTTTTACCCTAGCATTAGGTCAAGGAGTCGTCGCACTCTGTTTTAGGGTTTTCCGCCGTGGAATACCTAGTTAACCCTAATTTCAACTCTTTACAATGTAGAGATTGGAGTCGCCGCACTCCACGTAAGCGCTTCCTTAAGAACGCTTATTCCCCATTGAAACCTTGACCACAGTCAAGAAGTTTCTAACCTCCCTTTCGAGGGGAACTACGATTACTCTTATTCCATCCCCTACCTAGGATACGTAGGCACAAGATGCAAATCTTGGCGAGTAAACTTAGGACTAACCCTTAGGTCTTCCTTTATCTTTAACCCTTAGCTTAGTATATATCCTCAGCAAATAATAAAGCAAAATAGTAAATTTAAACAAAAGGTTCCTGTAGAGTACTACAAAAGTTTAGGGTGCTAATACCTTCCCTAAGCTTAACCAACCCCGAACCTTAGATCTCTCCCCGCATTGTGTTTACGATGCAAATTAGGTTTTTCCTTTCTTTGACCTTTCCTTCGGATAAATCAAAGACCGGTTGTGAACAAAGATGTGATTCAAATTAATTAATAATTTGATATCCTATTCTCACCGCAACAATAACCAATTAAATACTTGTGCATTCCACAAATAGCAATTGATCTTAAATCTACACATCTTGTCGAGAAGACCATCTGACAAATATTTACACTTCAGTAATACCAAAAGTATTTTTTAGTGCAAGTATCTTTGATGTTGAAACATCAAGGCTGACACCCTTGACCCATGTTGGCTTAGCTGGCACAATCCTATGCATCTTCCTTGAGAAGAACCACTTCAACTGATATGAAGAAGCACTACCTTGCACGACATGGAAGGTGAAAATAAATCACCCCCAAATTCTTCAAATGGATGATCCTCATGACCAACCATGATCCAGAAGAGAAACCAGAGAACTCCAGATACATAACAGAGAAGCCTTTATGAGTGGACTTGAGAGAAATCTCAAGTGCCTTTAGCAGCTTTGTCATGGTAAGAGTAGTTTAGCAACTCCATATACCATGAATTTGATAACCTAGAACTTAATTCATCTTCCCTCCAAAACGATTTCAAGATACCTGAAGGAACCAACCTTTCAAGTACCAAGACATACATGGTAAACACCAACAAACAACTCTTTCCATTCCATTACTCCCGATTGGCTTCAATCTAGCTTTGCCAAGGTCTTTTCATCAGAAACACATGCAGTGGAACAACAACATATCTTCAACAGGCTCCATTCAAGATGTCAAGATATCTTAGAGGACACCATGCAGATAAGAACCTCAACACTAGCATCAACAAGAACATCTTCACAGAAGCAAAAAACAACTAACTAGTTGTCATCCTTGATCCAATACCAACCATTCTATATATCAGAATGAAGGGTCAGATCGCATAAGCACACACCTTGTTTAATGAGCCAGAAAGTATCTCCCAAGATCTCATCCAAAAACAGACAGGATGCCTACTCTGATACCAATTGAAATTCTTACGTAGCGGATCACAGATGTCCTAACAACATGTCACGGCATTGTTCTCTGCATAACGTTTAAAATAAAGGCAGAAAAATCAAGCTGATACTCTGAATATCAGCAACAGAATCACAACAGATGTTTCAACATCTGTTACAATATGTTAATTAATGCACAAATATTGAACTGTAAATCTGCAGAATGATAAATAACACAAGATATGTTAACCCAGTTCGGCGCAAATCACCTACATCTAGGGACTACCAAGCCAGGAAGAAGAATCCACTATAAGTAGTATAATTTTATGTAAACAACCTCTGGTTTACAGTAAACAACCTCAAGTTTACCTATCATTATCCAATGAAAATTTTATCATTAAAAGTCACATCTAATTAATAAGAGAAACTTATCTCACTCCCTTAATCACTACCTGTGATATCTAACAGTTACAATCGACATCAACTGCATCATCCTACTTGAAAGACTCATCTTTCAATACAAAGTTCAGCCAAGCAACCTTGACTAATAATCCTACTCAGAATCTATTGGATTTGCTTTAAAGCTTCATCCAGGAACAATACACAATTCATTACCTACAGGTTTCTAAATCTGTAAACCTATGTCTATCACAATGCATCAATTAATACAAAGGGTGACTTACAACACAAGAAAGTACATGACTCTCAAAACCCTAAATCCTTATTTTCTACTTTACAAAAGTCTTAATAAGAATTCTTATTCTACCCTAACATCTTGGTCTTCCTTTTATAATCTTCAGCAGTCCACGGGCTTCGAAATATCTGTTTAATTATTCTTTGATCCATGCCTTAGATCTTGAAACTAATCTGCAAATATTCTGCTGAAACAAAATACTGCACATCAATAACAGACATGATGTCCTAACATCGTGTTGTGACATCTTGTCCAACATGTCTTCTTTCAGCAGACTTCTTCTTGTTGGAACATCTTGAACCACATTCTGTTTTGCCAAAATTTGCTCAAATCTTTAGAGCCTTCAAATCATATGGTTTATTAAAAAATTCCATAATAAATATATCAATAAAGTTTAAGACTTGTAGATCTAATGGAAGATATTAAGTCCGAACTCAGACACAGAACACGACACAGACACGAAACACGACACAGACTCAAGGATACAACTAATGCAATTTATGAGCATAATTTGAGATTTGGTGGTATCATTTTGTTCTTTGACTTGAGCATAATTTGAGATTTGGTGGTATAATTTAGGAGCACTCATCTAATATATATATATATATATATATATATATATATATATATATATATATATATATATATATATATATATATATATATATATATATATATATATATATATATATATATATATATATATATATATATATATATATATATATATATATATATATATTCAACTAAGAAATAATATAAAAAATAAATAACATTGGACAAAATAATTCTAGAAAAATGACGAGAGCACATTTATAGACGCAGCAATGGCAGCATTAAAAAAAGATACTGGTGAAAGTATTCTTCACTCGGCCATATAAACAAAACACCGAAACATCTGAAAAAAGTTAAAAATTACAATAGAAGATGAAAAACAAACGGAGAAAATGAAAATATCTTGTAAAGACAGAAGGAACGACATGCGGCGAAAATAAAAACAAACAGAAAAGATGGAAAAATCTTGTGGAGACAGAAGAAGCGGCATGCGGCAAAGATTAAAACAAAACAGAAAGAATAAAAGCCAGAAGAAGCAGCGGCGTGCGGCAAAGATAAAAACAAATAGAGAATATGAAAAAACAAAAATAATAACGATAATATGAAAGGTGGAATATAGAATATCTAGTTGTTTTTATAGTGGAGAAGTGGAATATGAAAGGTAAAAAAACGTTGTTTGTTTTTTTTTAAAATCCGAGAATTTGAGTTGAACCGTATCCGTTATTTGAAATGTGCCGTATCTGTGTCCTGCTACGTTTTAATATTTTTTCATTGGACACTTCAAAAATGTATCCGAAATGGTTCATACGCAGATCCATATCAGATACGTGTCTAGTGCAGAGCTTCATTGAATGGAAGCATACAACACAAATGATGAATTATCAACTATGATTTAGTTGATTATTTTAATGTATGAATTATGCTTAGCTATTTTTTGTAGTAAGGATCTAGTTTAAATTAATTTAATCACCTATGTAATTAATAAATGGTTCTAATATACATTATGGTTCACTATTTATGTTGGTTTTGTGGTTTAAGTTAGTGATTTAAGTCTTTTTTTCTGGTTTAAATTTTTATTTAAGTGGTTTTCTGGTTTAAATTATTGCTTTATTGGTGTATTGGTTTAGTTTATGGACGAAATGGGTAAAAGAGATAGTTTAAGGATTAATTTAAGTGATTATTCATTGAATTATTGTGTATGGCAGAAAGTTGGTCACTATATCATCTACTATCTAAAACTCTAAATACCCAAAATTTGAGCAGTTTTACATCATAGCCTATTTCCAACCACTGAATATAGTTGGAAGCCTAGGAGAATCTATTAGAGAAAAAAAAACTAATCACCATGCAAGCATCTACTACAATTACATTGAAAACCAAAACCTTGAAACAATAATTCTCGCCGAGCATCGCGGTCCATACTGGCATCAATATAGCAGATTCTCAGTTCTTCACCTGCAATGTACCAAGGAGAATTGTAGATGATCAATTATAGTTGCAGGTGAAACTACAAAAACCAATTTTATTTAGTAGGATTACAAAGTACATTGCCATAAAAGAGTAACTTCTGTAATTGGATACCTTGTATACTTAATAAAAATATCTGTCCTTTAAGCTCTTTTACAACTATCTTTTGACTTCATTTGTTTCCTTAATAAGTAATTATGTTTCTTCTATTTTGGGGAATTTGATAATAAACTATTTCGTTCTAGTTCTATCTATTGCTTAGATGGAGCCAAATCTAAGAGCTCTTCGCCAGCAAAAGCAAGGGAATTGTGGGTTTGCCATCACAATTGGACTCCCATCCAACAGATCCCATGTTTTCGATTACTCCCGCAGTGAAAATGTACTGTGGTGACAACGTCTTGTGTCATTCGCAAACGAGTGAGAGGTTACTAGATCCAATGGCTTTGTTGGTGAGTCTGGTGATTAAGCCAAAATGGTAGGAGAAACGAAGCTTTGTTTTTTGGAACCCTCCCTAACTTCTTCTTTCTAATACCACGAGTATTCTCCCTTATGTGGATTTTTCAGCACATTCTTTGATAATTTCTCGCCCTTATTGTGTTTCAAGATAGAGACGGATCGATAGAACGCATTCAAGGGTATCTCCTGCAGGTTTTTCAGATTGGTTTGTACCATAAGCCTTATCTAGGAGTCTTTTTTATAAGCAAAAAGGGTACAAAGGATTTCGAGACTGCAAGTCATCCCAATTACATTGACACCACACACTAATAATACTCTGCAGCACCAATATATTATTAGATAAAAATAAGAGAGAAAAAAGCCATTGGGAACCATACCAAAATCCATGGTAAGTCATTTAAATCTAAAGTTAGGAAGATTGTTCATATTACTAAAAAAACTTCTGAAATCAAATCAGGGATTAAGTCCTCCGCCTAGTGAATCCCAAAATGAATGTACCAAAGGAAGCAGGTTTGTCCTCGTAAACATTTCCTCTCGATAAATGTGAGCAAAAGAAACACTCAAACCAAAGATTATGTCAACCTATTATGCAATCTCCAAAGGACAAGCGAATGATTTTCAAACAGAGACCACAAGAGAGGAGTCACACTCAAACCAAAGATTATGTCAACCTTTCTCAAGGCGATTTCAATAGCCAAAATGGCACCATTAGATTACCATAGAGATATTACGGACCCAAAAATGGGCAGCAAAAGCACCCAAGGGTGCCTGCACTATCTAGAGTGAGAGTTGGCTACTGGACCAAACAACACTATAGGCTACATTAAATACAATAAAATTATTTAGAAAAAGGTTTTAGAAGGTACTCTCTCAAATGTTTCTATGAATGATCGATGTTATAAAAGATGAGTTGGGAAAAGGTTTGCGTTGAGTGTTGATTTGATTACCTAATACCTAAGACAAGCATCCTTTTTTATCCATGTTATGCACCAGATTTGGTAATAAAACATGATATAGGCAAAAATTTGCTTCCATTAAGTTGTCAGAAATGTCACATGCAAATGCATCAAAATGAGTAGAACGTTTTCAAAAATCATAGAATTCACTACATCTTGGACGAGTAAACCCACAAAAATCAAATAAAATACAATTTAGAACAAACCTTTGTCAATGTCCCGAAGGGCCTTCAGTTTTGCCTTTGCGTTATCTATCCATATAATGTGTGCATTAGGATCTGCAAAATCAATAAGTACGATTTTTAATTTCTCATGTTTAAAAAAGAGGAGTAGAAGGTCATCTGTTAGGTGTTAGATATTCCTTGAATCATAGGACAAGGAGGCCTCCTTAACAGGTTAATAGAAAGGGAAATATTCCTTATTTTATTACTCATTCTGCTAGCCTTTATATAGCAGTTCCATACAATAGGATTACAATTGATCACTCAATCCGATGGCTCTCCTAGAATATAGGGATTGCTATTAGATTCTAACAAAATATCCTAACAGAATTTTAATAACAGCTATATTTGATGAGCTGGTAACCTTCTAGAATCCTAGGATACTGATATTTGAATTACAGCTGTTCTATTTCTTCAATCATAGTTATTAAGGTATTTGGGCCTGCTCTTTATACGATCTGAGGTTCTCTTCTTGGGCTGATACTCTGCAGCTGTTTTGGGCTCTGGGTTATCAGTATTTCCAGCATTATTGTTGTGGGCATTAAGTGATATTGGGGTGTTAACATCACCTGGGGCTGGGAAAAACACCTTGTCCTCAAGGTGATAGGAATCACAAATTTGAGGCCATGATTCCCAACTGGTATCTTCGGAATTGAGGCCTTGCCACTGGATCAGTACCATGCATGTAGGTGGGGTGGTGGAATTGTCCCACTTATAGTCTATGATGGACATTGGAGTAATGAGTGGGTGGTTTTCAGTGGAAGTTGGGGGTAAAGAAGGTGCAGTTGTTTCAATTGGACCATGGTGAGGTTTTAAGAGGGAACAGTGGAAAACTAGGTGAATTTTTGATGCGGAGGGGAGGTCCAATTTGTAGGCTACTGAACCAATTCGCTGGAGCACTTTGAAAGGTCCATAGAATCTTTGTGACAGTTTGGTATAGGAAGATGATGAGGCTGATGTCTGACGATATGGGCGAAGTTTGACATAGACCCATGAATCGATTGCGTAAGAAACGTCACGCCTTTTGGTGTCAGCAAATTGTTTCATACAGTTTTGTGCTTTGGACAGTATTTGCTGGAGTTTGGTTATGAGTTGTTGGCGGCGGGATAGGATGGAATCGACTGCCTCGACTGTGGATGATCCAATAATGTAGTTGGGGATGTTAGGAGGGGGTTTTCCGAAAGTAATTTCGAAGGGAGAAAGACCAGTTGAGGAGTGAACAGAAGTATTGTATGACCATTCAGCGAGAGAGAGGTACGAGTACCACTGTTGAGGGTGCTTGTGGACGAATGAACGGAGGTATTGTTCCAAGACTCTGTTGAAAACTTCAGTTTGGCCGTCGGTTTCAGGATGATATGAGGTACTCATTCTGAGTTTAGTACCACAATTTTGAATAGGTCGTGCCAGAAACGGCTAATGAAGATGGGGTCGCGGTCAGAGACTAGACTTCGAGGAAATCCATGGTGTTTGCACACCATATCCATGAAAAGTGAGGCTACCTTGTAAGCTGTGAAATGAGAAGGTAATACCCCTAAATGGACTCCTTTGGAGAATCGGTCCACTACTACCAGGATTACTGAGAATCCGTGTGAAGGGGGTAAGCCAGTAATGAAGTCAAGAGAGAGGTCTTCCCATATATTTGTCAGAATTGAGAGGGGTTGAAGCAGTCCTGCTGGTTTTTTTGTGATGTGTTTGGTTTGTTGACATATGGTGCAGTTGTTGATGAATGATTGTACACTCTCTCTGAGTTTTTCTCAAAAGAAATTGGACTTGAGTCGTGCCAAGGTTTTTGTGATGCCCATGTGTCCCCCTAATGGAATAGAATGAAACTCCTCTAACAGCTGATTACAGAAGGGGCTTTGGTGATCCAACCAGATGCGGTTTTTGTAAATTATGAGTCCTTGGTGGATTTTGTAGTTTGGAAATGAGGTTGGGTTGTTTTGTATTTGGTCAAGTAGTTTGTGGAATGTTTGGCTGTTTTGTAGAGATTGGCGAAGGTGATCCAGAAAGAGAAAGTGAGGAATAGAGAAAGAAAGGTGCGTACCTGGGCCTTCGGGAGCTCTGGAAAGCGCGTCGGCGACTACATTACTCTTTCCTGTTTTGTATTGAATGGAGTAATCGTAGCCGAGGAGTTTAGAGAGATATATGTGTTGTTCGGGTGTTTGTATAACCTGTGAAAGGAGGTCCTTGAGACTTTTATGATCGGTGAAAATAGTGAAACGGTGCCCCAAGAGATATTGCTGCCATTTTTTAACAGCAGAAGTTATGGCGTGTAGTTCACGAACATAAGTTGAAGAGCGTTGTAGTTTATTGCAGAAGGGTTGGCTGAAGTATGCAATGGGGTGAGATTTTTGCATGAGTACTGCACCCATGGTTGTACCAGAAGCGTCAGTTTCTATGTCGAAGGGTAAAGAGAAGTCTGGTAATGCAAGGGTTGGGGTTTGAGTCATGGCTGTTTTGAGCTGGTTAAATGCAGATTGAGCTTCTGGGACCAGATGAAAGCATCCTTGCGCAGTAGTGCGGTAAGTGGTGCAACAATGGAAGCATAGCCCTTGACGAATTTGCAATAGAATCCTGTGAGGCCAAGGAAGCCGCGGAGAGCTTTAATGGATGTTGGTTGAGGCCAAGGAAGCCGCGGAGAGCTTGTATTTTAGATGGTTCGGGTTGAACCCCAGTAATGGAAATAATGTGGCCGAGGTAAACAAGTTGTCTTTGGGCAAATGAGCACTTGGAACGTTTGAGGTAGAAGTTACCATCGAGTAATTTGTGAAAAACTTGTTCCAAATGTTTGAGGTGAAGTTCGAGGGAGAGGCTGTAGACAAGGATGTCGTCAAAAAAGACTGCGACAAATTGGCGTAGGAATGGTTGTAGGAGTTTGTTCATGGCTGCTTGGAAAGTGGATGGTGCGTTACAGAGCCCAAAGGGCATAACGCGATATTCATAATGGCCTTGGTGGGTTCGGAAAAGCGGTTTTAGCTATGTCTTCCTCAGACATTCGAATTTGATGGAATCCTTGTCTCAAATCCAGTTTGGAGAACCAGGAAGCACCACCCAATTCGTCTAGCAGTTCGTCGATGGTGGGCATTTGAAAACGGTCTCTGATGGTGATAGAATTGAGTGCTCTGTAATCGACGCAGAATCGCCAGGATCCATCCTTCTTTTTTACGAGCAACACCGGTGAGGAGAAAGGGCTCCGACTAGGGCGTATAAGTTCTTGTTGAAGCATTTCTTTGACTTGGTGTTCAATTTCATTTTTTTGAGAGAAGGGGTAGCGGTATGGTTTGACGGAGACAGGGTAAGACAAAGGTTGGAGGTGGATGCGATGGTCAGAGGTACGTGACGGAGGTAAGCCAGGATTAGGATTGAAAATTTGGGAATTTTGTAGGAGAAGGTTGTTGATGGGAGGGATTGGATGTGGGTCGGGTATAGTATGTGGTGTGGATAGGTCCGTGGGATGAAGCATTTGGATATGAAAAAATTCTGAGGCTGAATTAGTTTGGACACAGCGTTTTAATTGTTGGGCCGAAATTGGTGTTGGGCTTTTGGTTGCATCGGCTTGTAGTAAGATGGGGGTGTTGTTATATGTGAAGGAAAGTGTGAGTGTGGAATAGTCCATAAAGACTGGGCCCAATGACTTAAGCCATGGAGCTCCAAGAATAATGTCTGCACCGCTTAGAGGGAGAACGTAGAAATCCACGATGAACGGGTGGGATTGAAGGGTAAGTGCCACATTGTCGCAGAGGCTCTGACATTCGAGCAGGTGTCCTTTACCAACCATTACTTTAAGAGTGTTAACAGGAGTGGAAGGAAGGTTCAGGAATTTTGTCATGCGACTCTAAATAAAGTTGTGTGTACTACCTCCGTCGATGAGTACGGTGACAGGGTGATTAGCAATTTTGCCGATGATACGTATAGTGGCGGTGGCGGCGGAGCCGGAGAGGGCGTGTAGGCTGATTTGTCCATCTAATTGGTCTGTGTAATCGAGTTCGTGGTTAGAAACGGGGGGTGGTTCAAGTGTTTGTGTAGGATGTGTTTGTTCGCTTTCTAGTTCGTCTGATACAAGCAAGAAAAAACGACCTTTGCATTTGTGGCCGGGGATGAAGGTTTCGTCACAGTTGTAACAAAGGTCTTTTTCTTTTCTAGAGGTCATTTCTTTTGGTGTTAATTTGCGAAACTGAATTCGAGGGGTGGTGGGGTTTGTTTGGGGAGAATTTGTGGGGTTGGTGTTGGAAGTTTGAGTGAGGGAATGGGTGGGTTTCTTAAAACCGCGATGGCGTTCGTCGAGTTTATCTTCTTGGATTTTAGCTAAAGCAGTGGCTTGTGAGAGGTTGTGGGGTTGCAGAGCTTGAACCTCACGGCGTATCTCTGGTGAGAGGCCTGAGATAAAGCAGCTGAGAACGAAAGGAGGTGGTAAGCCAACGATTCGATTAGCAAGTCGTTCGAAATCGGTGAGATATTGGTTGAGGGAGCCGCGTTGTGTTAGTTTGGAAAGTGATTGGCTGGGATCATCGTAGTAGCTCGGAGCAAATCTTGTTTCAAGGGCTTGTAACAGTTCGAACCATGTAGTGACGAGACCGTTACGAAACATATATTGGTACCAGCTTAATGCTGGACCTTCCATGTAGAAAGAGGCGACAGTGAGTCGTTCTTCGTCTGGTGTTCTGTGATAATCAAAAAATTGGTTGATTTTAAAGATCCAGCCCATAGCATCTGTGCCATTAAAGCGTGGAACTTCGAGTTTTATGTGAGGTCGTGGGTGTGGTGGTGGTGTGGGTGGGTTAGTGGTGAGGGTGGCTAATTGGGTGATGATAAGATCGACTTTTTCTGATAAATCATCAAGTCGTTCTGCATTTGTAGGTTTGGTTGCCATGGAAAAAATGAGGGAGGATCGATGAAAGCACCAAATTGTTAGGTGTTAGATATTCCTTGAGTCATAGGACAAGGAGGCCTCCTTAACAGGTTAATAGAAAGGGAAATATTCCTTATTTTATTACTCATTCTGCTAGCCTTTATATAGCAGTTCCATACAATTAGAATTATAATTGATCACTCAATCCGATGGCTCTCCTAAAATATAGGGATTACTACTAGATTCTAACAGAATATCCTAACAGAATTTTAATAACAGCTATATTTGATGAGCTGGTAACCTTCTAGAATCCTAGGATACTGATATTTGAATTACAGCTGTCCTATTTCTTCAATCATAGTTGTTAAGGTATTTGGGCCTGCTCTTTATACGATCTGAGGTTCTCTTCTTGGGCTGATATTCTGCAGTTGTTTTGGGCTCTGGATTATCAGTATTTCCAGCATTGTTGTTGTGGGCATTAAGTGATATTGGGGTGTTAACATCATTTGTTTGTAACTTTTAAGTTATCACTTCTCCTAAACATGGAATTCATATATTAGCTAAAATTGAGCTTTTCCAATTTTGAGTCATATGTACTTTATGAATAATTTAAGGGTATGTTTGGATGGAGAATTTCAGAGGACTAAGCCTATCTTTTGATATATATTTGAGAATTTTTAAAAAAGATGAAATAGTAACATGACCTATGATCATATAACATTTCAATCACACTTAATTCATTTTCAGAAACATTTTATTGCTTCCTTAATTTAGAAAAGAAAAATAAGCTCTCCTCTCCAAACACTGCTCATGTAGGAAAATTTGATCAAGCGACAAACAAAAGGGAAGAGGCGAAAAAGACATATAAGCTCATGTTGATGACATAGATAGATAGAGAAAAGTTAAAGAAAATTGTACTGACCACAATCATGATTATAGAAGGAAGGAAGTATATAGACAGCATTTCCAACAGCAGCTTCAGCTTCTACAAATGCAAATGCTGAAGAAAGAAGATCCTCATATGATCCACCACCAGCCAACTCAATGCGAAATGCATTGATTCGAATTCGTGCCAAAACACCAATGTACCATTGCTTGGTTAGAACTTAAAATGTCAAGATAAGTAATCTATTAACTTATATCTGCGTTCTTTTTAAGCATGTGACCATGTGTGTGAATGGTGATGTGATGTGTATCTACTTCATACAAAATGTTCCTAAAAGAAGGATACATGCAATTTGTTCATCTGCAATGAGTATCTTTGTGAAGGCATTCCTTAGCAGGGTGAACCCCTTTTCCATCTGAAAAATGACTCGGCGCATAAACAGATTGCAGTAACAAAACACAGAAGCCAAAACTTAATCACATTGAAAATCACTTCTAGTTTTCATTATTAATAGAAGAAACCTGTCAGTTAATTGTTGTTGTTAATCATAAACTTGCAAACTCTCACCTCTAAAATCATCTCAGGTGTCAAATTGGCAGGTTGAAGTATGTCAAGACTGTCACTTCTGGAAACTCCTGATATGATCATGCAAGCCAACCGCTTTACCAGAAAAGGATATTTCAAACCTTGGTTCCTTCGAAAAGAGATCAGGTATTTATCACTAATATAGTTTCAGTGCAATAAAACTCTATATGATAAACTAAGTGTTGACTGTTAACGATTATTCAATGTTTCAATCATTTATCATTAGGTCTCAGATCAATATGAGTTGTAGAAATTGGCATGCTGCGTCAAGTTTAAAACCACCAAAATTAGTTGGCGAAAAACATAGAAAAGGTTAATAAGGGATGAAAATTAAAATATAGCTTCTTCCACAAGTTAATATTTTATTTCCACTAAACACGAACATCTGTATTAAAGCTTTTTTTTCTGATCCAAAAACGATGATGCATAGAACATATTAGGCTACTTATAAAACCAAAGAGCAAAACTAGTCCCATTAACACTGAGGAAATGTGAAGGTGTATATATCTTTATTCATGTGATAGGTTTAAAGATTGTGGAAAAGCATTGCAATGGATAAATAACTCACATACCGGCAATAGTTATCAAAATCCGTCCAATCCGCTTTCATCTCAACATCGTAATATTCCTATATAATATATCAAAATACCCAAAATAAGTACATATCAGCAGAGAATAAAGAATACATGTTTGTTTACATTTTCCATGCATAGATGCAAACATTCAAGTTGAAAACCCATGACAGAACAACAAGTAGAAAATAGTTGAAAACCACAGCTCCACAAGTCAGATATCAAATGGTCATTGCACATTAATATCATAAATAGTATGGTCAGTTAAGTTAGGCTCTGTTTGGATAGTTTAAAACTAACGCAGCGGAGCGTAACGGAATGGAACTTAAACACATCCCATTGTTTGGATATTTTACAACAGAGCGAAACTAATAACACATTCCACTATTTGGAAATCAGACGGAACAGAATGCATTATAATTTATTTATTCCATAATATGCTCAATAACACATTCCTTTACTTCAAAAATATTATATGTTTAATTATATATTAATTTTCTCTAACATAGCTGTTAACAAGAACTCACTACATGGTTGTTATAACGTGAAACTGCAAAGATTCCAGACACAAGTTTTGACCAACACTTGGTAAACATAACAATTCATAAACAAATATCAATACATTGTTGATAACGATAATAAGTCTTGCTAAAAAAAGACAAACATAAGTCCATTTATAGATAATGATTCTCTTCTCTAAGGCTTTCACAAAATGTAAAAAATTATATAAAATAAATTACTCAAATTTCATTTGTTAAAGATACAAAAATGCATAAAAGTGATAAATAAATATGTTACCGTTAACAAACAAAAAAATAAGAATGAATTTTCTTTCGCTTATCAATTGGAATTTCATTAAAAACTTTCGGTGCATCAACATTATTAACAAGTTACATGTATACAAGAGACAAAGAACTTGTTCAACGTCAATCTTCACCAATTCAGCCCAAATATCTCCACCATTATCATTCTTACTCGGTTTGACCAACTCCATTGTATTCATTTCAAACATATCAATTATTATTTGGGCTGAATTGGTCAAACCGAGTAAGAATGATAATGGTGGAGATATTTGGGCTGAATTGATAAAGATTGACGTTGAACAAGTTCTTTGTCTCTGTATACATGTAACTTGTTAATAACGTTGATGCACCGAAAGTTTTTAATGAAATTCCAATTGATAAGCGCAAGAAAACTCATTCTTATTATTTTTTAGTTAAGGTAACATATTTATTTATCATTTTTATGCATTTTTGTATCTTTAACGAATTAAATTTTGAATAATCTATTTTATATAATTTTGTAAGTTTTGTTAAAACCTTAAAAAGAGGATCAATGGAACTATATTTGTCTTTTCTTAAAAGAGCCTTGATATAGTTTTTGACAATTGCTTTTATTTTTATCAAGACTTGATTTTGTTTAAAATTTGTCTGGATTACCAAAACGTGTGCGTTGAATCTTTGAATCTTTGTAGTTTAACGTTATAATAAATAGAAATGAAATAAATAAATTATAATTCATTCTGCTCCATCCACTTTCCAAACTCCATTGTAAAATATACAAACAAACAATGGAATGAAATTTAAGTTCTCTTACCTTCCATTCTGCTTCATTCCGTTAGTTTTAAACTATCTAAAGAGAGCCTTATTCTCAGTTTTATCAAATGGTCGTTGCACATGGATATAACAATTTCTTTGAGGGACTAAATTGTATATTTTATTCTAAATAACAAGAGTCCAAGATATGGGATAATGAAAGCATGAATAGAATCGAAAATAAAAAATAAAAATAAAAAACTTCTGCTTTCTTTACACAAACTTCATATTATATGGAGATGCATTTGATAACGAATCTAAACAAAAGGGGAACTTGATTAAAATTATGTAAAATTTTAGGAATTAGAAAATTGATAATGGGAAATATTAGGTTAGTGAGTTTAATGATTATGTAGTGACACTTTAAAAAAACTCATCATCTTGCAATGTATGCATACAACTACTGAATATTCAATTCTTATTGGTAAATAGATAAGAAAAAGAAGAAAAAGCGCACCTTACTGCGCTGGTGGCAATGGTGAGAGCAAAAGGGGGAGCGTTGAGGAGGGAAGGCGGGGAGTCTGGTGAGACAAGAGTAGCAGACGGAATGGAGGGCGGAGGGTGAGGGATGGCAGACGGCGGGGTCGGCGGTGTGGATGAGATCGCCGGTAGGGATTGGGCGAGTTGCGAAAACGGCGCGACCCGTTGAGTCGGTGAGGGAGACTTGAATTGGAGGTGGATTCGGCGGTGAGGTGGTGGAGAATGAGAATTTGAAGAGGTGAAGTGGTTTAGTGAAGCGTGATGAAGATGAAGAAGAAGAAGCCAACCGGAGTCGACTTAGAAGCAAATGAGTAACTGCCATTTTCTCTACTTTTCTTCATTCAATTACTCTATTCGCTCAGCATTTCAGTTCCATCGCGTACAACAAGATAAAACTAAACTTTAGTTTATTTATGTTTTAAGCCGAAACCAGAACATTTTATTAAACTATTTATGTATTTGGGAGAATAAATAAAAAATGCTACATGCATAGTTAAACTTCATCTCTTGTAACATATTTGTTGTAACTTTGTACTATATAGGACTATGAATGATGGAGAAAATTAAGTGTAGATTAGAAGAGAGTGTTGGACGATGACGCAGATATAGAAGAGAGAGTTGAATAGATCCTTTGTTTAAAATAGATGGGGACAAAAAAAATTGGTTTTTAAAAATATTTAAGGCGGAGGCGGCCGAGGAACTATATTAGTCTAAAACGAATTTTTATCGAAAAAATCGGATATGTGTAAAGCCTATGAAATTTGATAAAACGAGATTTGAGAATCACTAATTTGATCACACTTCAATCAAATTTTGTTCACTACAAGGTGTGACTAGTTCCAATGCTTTTAAAATATAGACAATTTAAAAAGACAACACAATTGTTTTTAGTTCACACAATTGGTCAAACACTTGGAGTGCAAGGCACTACAAGTGAATTCTATTATGAGAGTAGAGTGCTCAAGTGTTCTATTACAATCAAGGATTGAAACAAGCTTAAGAATAATTAAACACTACTCAAATCAGAATTTGATTGACACAGTTGTTTGCACTTAAAACTCAGAATTTAAGCAATATAAATGTAAAGAAAGAGACAACGATTTGTTGAGGTAGTTTCCCCATCGTTCTCGTTCGGGGTACGTCTGCCCTCAATTCTAACAATAGAATTTAGACCTGTATATATAAATATAACCTGTTGGTCAATGTTTACACAAGAACAAATAGATATCAAACAACCAAACACAATTTGTTGACGTAGAGCCTATTTCTTCTTGCCCCTTATTCAAGTTGAATCAAGTCCTTCGAACACGGTGAGTAAACCTCCGACTACGGCACGCCCTTTGAACAACCTCACGCTCTTCAAATCTTGCCCGACTGATGGGGTTCTTCAAATCTTGCCCGACTGATTTCAGTCACCCACGTGTCGAACCCGAAACTTTCACTCACAATCCTCCGGTTACCGCTACTAAACCGACAGAACAACTCGTTTTTCGATTACCTTCGCTCAGCTGAATCTATGATGGATCGCTTCGTGTAAAAAAAAACCCCAAAATTTAAGATTCTTGGAGGGCAAAACCCTAACGTTTTTATTCAAGAAAAACCTATTGATTACTCAACTCAAAACAGATTACATCAATCCTAATTTTGGACGTTATCACCTTGAACAAACAGAATGCAAAACAAAAATGATTATGTGTAGTTGTTGAGAAAATGCTATGAAGAAGATGAGAACAAATCAGTATTGTCACACCCTCATTTTCACCTTTAGCCTTTATACCCTACATTCACCATATCATACATCGTTCTATGGCATATTGAGCATGTGGGTTCATAAGGTACGGATTGGATCGGTTTGTTATTTTCCATTTTTAAATGAGATAAATTTCCTATCATGGAATACATGGAAGAAAAGGTTCATCACCTAAGGTTTGATCTAAGTTGGAAAGTCTACTCATGTAGATTACTTCAAGAAGAAGTTACTCGAAAATATTAGGATATTCAAGATTAATATTCCTAATGGACATGAAATGCAAGGCATAATTCAAGATTTCCTCATCCAACTTTGTTTCAAATTCTTGATCAAGTGGAGTTCAAATTCGCAAAGCATGAGTCAAGATCACAAGTCCATAATTCAAGACTTCATCCATTTCAAGCTTAATGGTTCTAAGGAAATCCATCATGAATTCAAGATTGGAGGCAAGAATATTACAAAGATAAATTTTTATGACATTACAAGAATGCCATTTGTTACAAGATTTCCAACTCTAAGTAATGATTAGAAATTAATCTATTTCTAATCTTCATTCAAGTCTCTAATCAAATCCATGATATGGTACTCTTCATGCCACACCAAGTTTTCATGTGCTACATTATGCTCACAAATATCCAAAGAAAAATACTTAAGAGTTAAATCAACATTGGTATGTTTCAAGATCAAGACCATGTATGTTCAACCATGAGCAATAGGAATGCAATCCAAAATAGCCCCATGCAAGAAGTGGCAATATGTATCATGTTACAAAATCATTTTATGTCACAAAATCAAGAGAACAACATGTGACAATGCATCTAAAATATCAGAATTTTCAAAGTGTTGTCAAAGGATAGTAGCATTGACCATAAAAGCTGTCAAAACACATAACCAACCAATGGATACAAGGATGGATGGCAATGTAGAGCGCTGCAGAAGAAAATACAGCAAAACATGCATAGAAATGGAAAGGAAGTGGGGCTGCACCAAGAAAGTGGTAATAGATGTTGCCAAGAATGGAAATTCTGAAAATGGGAGAATGTGCAAGAGCTATGGTTTTGTTACAGCAGGAAAAAGCAGCAGAAAAAGTGGAAAAAGGGTTGTAAACAAAAGGGAGTTCATTACACACAAAACAGATATACATAATACATTGAGCAATCCATTCACTATCATTCACATTTGACAACATTGAGAGGGCAAGAGAGAAAAAACCAGAAAAAGTGAGAGCAAAAGATAGAGAGAAAACCAGAAGAAAAAAAAAAAAGAGTCACATAAAGATACAAGAGGATTCTTGAGAAGCAAAGCCTTCATAACATAGAGTGAAGGGTGAAGGGAGCATCCAACAAAAACAGTGGAGGACTTGCAAGAAGAATAGAAAGCTCTTGGGTATCCATTTCATCAAACCTTTCTCTTTTTTTACTTTTTGCTTTTATATTCATTTTACTTCCCCTTTTATATGTTGTTGTACCGAGTATATCATGTAAGGTTCTAAAGGTTCCAAAAAACCATTTTTAAGAACCAATAGAAAGGAAGAAAACCACAAAAGACAGCAAAAAATACAGCAAATACTGTATTTTTCGCTTCAGGTCGCGGCGCGAACTGTCAAAAACAGAATGAAAATTTTTCTCAGTTCGCGGTGCAAACACCCTTCGCGGCGCAAACTGATCAGTTTATTTATTTTCTTGCTGTTTTTACCTTATGTTTTTTTTGCAAAGGGTGTTAACCCCACATGTTTGTATGATTTTAGTATGTGAATATTGTTATTGTCCTTGTTGACTTTTGATTCCAAAAACCATTTTCAAAAACAAACTCTCGATTTTATCGAGCCATTTTTAACCTTGTAAGTCGATTGCCTTGCGCATCGCCATCGACCTTGTCCGTATCGCTTCAAATACATCTTTACAAACAATAAACCTTGATCCAACATCAAGTGATCCTTTTTCTCGTAAAAATCCAAAACACAATAAAATATACGATTAGAATTATGCACCATGAACTTTAAAGTGGTGGAGAAGGAATGAGAATAGAATCCTCCTACACTCGTTCCGAATGTTTTGAATACAAGGCGCTCGACTTGGTTATTCGAGACATTCATCTCTATCCAAAGTCTTTTGTATAATCCTAGTCAAGAATAAATTCTTCCCTAAGAAAAACCTAAAAAATAACACCAACTCATCAAACTTATTTTCGCCTTAGGGCATTAATCAAAAACCCTTTTTCAAGGTATAAAATTAACCAACAAACAACAATTTCATAAGCCTCTGAACTACGGAGCTCTGATTCTTCACTTCTTTTAAGTGAAGATACGTAGGTACAAGGGCCACAATCCTTGGCGAGCATTAAAATAAATAAACCAACCCCTCTTTCTTTAAACAAGCAAACTCTTAATAAAAACACCCATTCACGCCAAATAACCTAGGAGGTTCCCATCGAGTACGATGGATGCGAGGGGGTGCTAACACCTTCCCCTTGCATAACCGACTCCCGAACCCTAAGACTTGGTTGCGACGACCACGCGCTTTTCCCAAAGGTTTTATCGTTATTTCCCTTTCCCTCCTTGGGATAAATAAAATCCGGTGGCGACTCTGTGTCATTTTTCGCGTAGCGACAAGTATGTTATTTTCACTTTTCTTGTTTTTCTCAGTTGTTGTGAAAGGAAGAGCAAAACTCACTTTATATACAAGACATAACTAATTAACAAACATAACAAACACCAAGAATGTTTCACATAACAGAATTTTGACTAACCATCAGCGAGTGGTCGACCTATGCAGAAAGGGGGGTCGACCTGAGCTTACCCGTATTCCTGATTGTGCAAAAAACAGAACCTTGCATCGACCGGAGCAGGTCATGCGTCAACGCAAAGCATGAAAATTTAGGCAAATACAAATGGCCACAGTATGAGTCGACCGGAGGGCCGACGCGAGCCCTCCTGAGAGTACTTCATTAAAAAGACTATCTGTATGAGTCGACCGGAGCTAGCTTTGAGTCGACTCAGAGCCCTGAAATATGCAAAAATGCCTAATTTCATGTATCAAGACACTTTTGATGAACTCTATTACATGTTAAGCTTGACGAGCTTAACCAACCCTACCTGAAACATAGATTTAGCCATTTATATATGCATCAATAATGTTTTTGACGAGTGTTTGACTCACGAGGGACAAGACATGCATATGTGACACGATGATACGGTCCAAAGTACATTTTTCTATCAATCTAAGTTTTGACATCATTGAAACAAGTGTAGCTACCTATGAGGATTGCCCTCACAGAGAGAAAATTGGGGGTGAGAAAGTTTTAATTCACATTAATTAAAATGAGAATGTCTTTAAGATATTTATATAAGAATTACAAAATAATTGGAAATCAAAATATTTTATCTCATATTCCCACATTTATTCTTGTATCCCTACAATTTTGTGAATATTCCAAATTTACCCTTTTTAATTTTTCTTTAATTTTTTTTACTTTTTACTGCGTAGTCAAATGAGACAAAAAGTATTGTTTTGAATTTATACGACACTAATCGGATAACTTAAGGTAAAGAAATTCAGAGTGTCTTTTAATCA